GATGGGGACGAGGAAACTGGAGAACAGAGCTGGGATGAGGCGACGTTCGGGGGTGCCCATGCCGTGTTCCCGAATCTCGGGTTCGACAACGTAGTAGAGGTAAGCATAGTATCCTGCGATGGAAATGACGACGCCGACTGCGATGGAGAGGAAGACGAGTCCCATCTCACCGACGTTGAAGCCGTAGCGCTCGATATAGACCAGAGGGAAGACTTCGAAGAAGGAATAGAAAATTGCATAGCAGAGAGCGATGTAGAGGTCAGCGTAGGCCTATGTGAACCATACAAGTCAGAATATAGGCCTGATAACACATCTTTCCTGAATTGGACTTACGATAGCTGGATCAAGTGCAATCAGCTGAATGGGGCGCCACAGAGCTTCAACCACCAAATCGTTGAAGCTACGTTGAGCTTGGTTGATCTCCGACTGGGCTTTCAAGTTTTGGTTTCCGGTAAGTGCTCTGAGTCGCTGAGCACGACGCAACAAAATGGTCTCTGGGTAGGTCTCGGGAAGGAACAAGAAGAGCGTGATCCAAACAGGTGCAGCGAGCCAGAGCATTTCCCAGAGAGACCATCGCCAGTTCATTGCCGCGACACTGAAACCAGAGATGATGGGTCCGAGGGCAGGACCGATACAGGCTGCTGCGGCCCAGCAACAAAGGATATAAGGTAGCTTGATCAATGAGAACATGTCCTGGAGACTAGCACCACCTGTGGCAAGAATGGGAGATCCAAAGAAGCCTTGCAGAAAGCGCAGCACTAATAACCCTGCAAAGTTGTCCACCAAAGCTGTCGGTACGCACAAGATGGTGAAGATAGCAAAGGTAATGATATATGGAGGGTTCCTGCCAATCTTGGGAATCTCCGACAAAGGAGAGAAGATCAGAGGCCCAAGACCATAGGCGAACACAAAGAGAGCGATGCCCAGAGCAGCTGCTGTCGCTGAGACTCCGAAGCGTTCCATGACGCCTTCGGCAGAAGGTGTGTAGATGGCAGATCCCGTGTAGACTGCGGTGGTATAGACACAGATGAGGGCTGTGACCATGCCCTTCTTCGTCTTGGACCAGTTTTGAGGATTCGCCTTGTCGTCTGTAGTGTACCAGTCCACGAGAATGACTCCATCTGCAGTGCGAACAGGCACAATTGGCTCAGGCCAGGGGCTTGGCTCCGAAGCGAGGGCGAAAGCCTGTTCAAGATCTGCTCTGGTCTTCGATTGTTCAAGAGCAATTCGGGAACCGACATGCGATAAAGCCGATCTGGCAGTGTTGGTCTTGCTCAAGTTATGGCGACTGCGATCTGTTTCTGTCCTCGTGAGCTGAAGATCGCTGTCAGGCTCGAGGTTATCCTTCTCAACATCGCCATTCAGAGAGTTGTTGCTAGATGAGAGTGATGGTACAGCCTTGAACAACTGATTGGTCTCCTTCTCAAAGCCGGAGTGTGAATAGTAGCTTGGACAGACAAAGTCGGATTTCTCTTCAGGATACTGGAGTACTCTGTTTCCTGTCACATATCGAATGATTTGTCCGATTGGAGCGTCCCGAATGAGATCGGACATGCTGATGAAAAGGCTGGGGTTGCGAAAAAGAGGCTGAATGTGGGAGACTATAACAAGCGGGTGCTGTCTTCGGACGTGAAGAACCTTGGTGGAATAGAAGAATGCGAGGTATCTGTCTGCACAACATACATATACTCTTCGAACCGACCTTCATCTTTACAAAGCTGCTGATTGCGTGCGAATGTCTTCAGTAAGCATGCCAAGTAATCCTGAAGTCTGTCCCGGAGCAAGCCATGGAGATTAGCAATTGCAGCCGGTCTTTTGTCTAAGGATTCCAGTATCTTGGTTGTTGGCAAGATACTTGTGGAATGTGTGTCTCGCTGTCATTGGCTCAAGCCGGGGTTTGTCAGCTTCGTGTCCATGCCTCGCTGACAAACGCTTTGTCTGGGGATCCTCAAACGCGACGGAACAGGCAGAATTTCAGCCGCTGCTCATGTCGACGGATGAATATTCGTGCCGGTCTTACAAAGCTATTGTTCCCCATACAAGTATTCCTCTCGAGACCAGTTCTGCAGACGTTACTACAGGGAAGTGCATGAAGGCATCATCCATTGTACTGAAAACCAGACACTGCCATGCGCGTGTGCATATTCCAGGATTGGACAGTTATGTGTATATCCTCCAATGTTTTGCGCGAACCATGGTATGTTGGATTGTGGTATGCGAATCGCTGAGGGCAGGATTGCAACTGAAGGGTTCATCGCCGTCATTGAAAAGTCTGGACAAGGGACAATTGTCGACTTGGACCTCAGAAGCCTCCACTTGTGTTCACACCCTCGGTGCCGTCCTTGTCGTAGCGCATGAATGAGATAGCAGGCACGATTTCAGCTCGACTGCAAGTCTGTCACTAGGAAGAACGCTTCGCGCAGCAATTGTTGGTCGGTCAAAGAAATGCCCATAAGATCGTATTCGATTATTCGGGGGTATGGAGGTGACTCGACTTTGCCAATTGTCCAAAGGTCAAGAATTACCATCTGAAATCGAGGACCGGTACTTTGGGAGCGCTGCGGTGAGGGTGTCACTACCGCTCCAAGTCTTGGCTAGCAGCTTAACCAATCGGGTAGTTCTAGGTGCTACCTGATCAAACTCAAAATTTGGCGTGACCAGAAGCGCGGAACAAACCACTTTCTCAAGTTTGCAAAAGCACCCTCAATGTTACGGTGCGCGATTCTGAAAAGAGTCCTGAGGAATCAACGGTCTTCATGCCGAAAGTCTCTCCCATACCGACCAAGCTTGGTTGAGGGACATTGTTACCAGATCCGATCATTATGCTTCTTGCCGATTGTGTCGAGCAATGATATCGCCAAACAAGCATCACCGTGCAACGACGGAACCGACAATACCTCAGAGCACACCGACACATCTGACACGGCACACGCATCTTCAAGGGATGGTTTAAATCAGGAGGAGCTACATTCTGGCAGCAAACTCGATGACCTTGGCTCTTCGGCCGAACCATCACTAGAGAATTTCATCGTCCTGGAATCGCAAGAAGAGAACGCAGTTGGAAGTGCAAATACGTCGCGTCTAGAGGAGAGTGAAGCGTGCGACGTTGAGAATGTCAAGCAAGCAAGAGCATCCTCTTCGAACACTTCAGATTCGACAAAGCTACCACGTGCAGTCACTCTGCCTGACAACACTATTGTCTCATTTCCTTCTAGGCAACTCATTGATGAAGACATGCTTAGGACAATTCAAGCTTGCTGGCATGAATTCAAAACTAGACATCCCGTTGACACGAAAGAAGCTGTCTTGACCGTAGACTCGTAAGGCCTTGCCCACCTACTACGATATATGCTGACTTGCCCAGTGTGAACTCTGGTCGAGCTTGGTTACGTATCTGGAGAAGAATTCGTCCACATATCAGAGCTGAAGATATGCGTGGTCAATCATGCTGCCTTGAATTGTTTGTTGATTCTGCAGACACATCACGTCAAGCCTTCGGTTTCACACCTCGCATAAGCCTAGATCGACGGCGAAAGGCCAGAAACATAGTTCATGTTCCCTCGCTCTTCAATCATGTAGGATGCGTGGAATCGAGCGGTAATTTATCAGTCGCCGAATCGAGAATTCATCCTTTAGCACAAGAATGGCTACATGCACCTCACCACAGACACACACCTTTATTCTTGCAACAACAGCGTCACCACGAAATCGTCGCCACTGACAGTCCGGATGGGCAACGCATGCCAAAGTCAACTGCCATCGAACCCCAAGACAATACAAGCCTCGAATCGTCCCAGCATGTAGATGATGTAGGCTTCAACCAGAGTCCACCTATTCAAACGACTTACTTTTCGGCATCACTCGCAGATGGGACTATTGTTTGGCTCACGCGAGGCCGTATCGACCAGTCTCAGTTCGAGCATCTGTTGTTGATGATTTCCAAGATGTGGGAGCAATACTCTCACAAGATCGTCCCCCAGCTGTCAGGGCGGAGTTTTGGGATCTCAGTTTCGAATGGGAGAATCAAAGACGACTCTAGCCTCACCACGACGATACACGACATTGAGGTAGGCAATGGTCCACGCGCAGTGTTAGGATACAGATGGTCTGTCTCCAGCAACAACTCAGAATTCTCAATGCTAAGACGCTGGCGCGTGCCGTTCACAAACTGGAATGGTATGCGTAGAAACCTTCTGCAAGCCCTCAAGAACTATGTCGGCTCTGTGAATCAGCATGGTTCGTTGCTAACAATTTCCCCTCCTATCACTCATGCCCTTCACTTGGAATACACGAAATATGAAGAGAACTCCGCATGCGGTGGCCGGTCCATCAACCCGAGTAATATCATGTCGATAGTTCTAGCTCCGAACGTGATTCTCAGTCCTAGTCCTCGTCTCCTTACATCAATGGACCACAGAGAGTTCTTGTCTGTCGCAGTAGCGGTTTGGCGATGGTGGCAAGAGGAGCAGAATTCAGTGCATGAATGGCTGCATGAAAGTATCGCCTACATTCGAATCATGTATGTCAATTGATCAAGCTAGCATCGCACAAGCTAATGATCCGTTAGGGAATCAAATCCCAGCGAAAACTTGTTCAAAGTGGAGGTTTGGAATATAAGTGTCATTCCAGATATAAGCCTCTCTAGAAGCGTTCACACGCTCTTTGTTTCAACCGCTAGCCACGGTCTTCAACGTGCGGTTGTCGAGTCTAAGGTTGATTTTGAAGACCTTCGTCCCGGCAACGACAACGCACTGCGAAAACATGCCTTGATGTTTCTCAAGGCCAACGTTGGATGGATGGACAGTACAGGAAACATGATAGAGGGGAGGTATCCGAAACTTGATTCGCTGGTGGCCAAGATCAGGGGCGAGAGATCGTCTGCTTCAAGCTCTACACCATCCCATGCTTTGGAGAACGTAACGGCGATTGAACCACAAGCGATCTCTAAGTTCGAAGGCCCTGGACTCAACAAAGAACATTGTCGACAGGCAACCGCTGATATGAGCCCGGACAAAGCCGACAAAGCGAAGCGTGCTACGACCAAGAGGACCGAGTTTACGAAGCGCCAAAACGAAAGCTGTGTGCCGTCAAACTCGACTGATGGCGAACATGTGGACAAGGATGCTCAGCAGGTTCAAAAGCTCTCTATGCATGAACAGATCGCCAATGTCATGAAATTGGCAGGCGCGTTGTACGAAGTGAGCACAATGCTCAATGAGGAAATCTCAAATGCTACATCGCGAACAGACGCGAGTCTCGCGCTCGACCACATCGACCAAAGTTTGTTGAACGAACCGAACCCAGTCTTCGAAACCATCCAGAACGATGAAATAGATATCGATGCTATTCGGAAGGCGATGTCGGACCTCAAGACTCGACTTCATAGCCACCAAGACAAAGCCAACATTCTAGCACATCTGTGTAAGAGATGGAAAAGCGAGCTGGAGGATTACTACCCACTCATGAATCGAATGACCCGATCACGGAATGCCACTGACAGTCTTGCACTGCCACGATCTGGAGAATCCACGATCAAAAGTCCTGTTGTCAAGAAAAAGGTGCCGACCAAACCGCAGAAGCACTCGTCGACTCGCATGACCAGGAATACAAGAGACCGAGCCGAAGCCGTAGAGCCAGAATTCGTAGAGCCAGAATTGGCTAAGAAGCCGTGGTCACCCGCCAAACTCAGGTACAAAGATGAGGATTCCACATTCTCGCGCAACCCCAGGCAAGATGAACCCCCAAGTACCCGGCAAGACGAGCTCATGAGAAAGAAGCGACCATATAATCGATCTAGCGATCACGGCAAAGGTGGAGATGATAAGGACGATGGATTCTCCATATTCGCCATTTGAGTAGTCAGACGTGTCTTCATGGAAAACCTTGTATTCTGGAAAAGCCATTACCTGACTCTCGGCACCCAGACAGCAAAGCCTCAAAGCTACTCTCCCAATGCCAGGTAGGTTTTCGATGAAACTTGCTGGGGAATGGGGCACAAGAAAACTATGTATTTGGGCACGACAGGGCTCAGACATTTTTGTACAACATCAAGTCGAAATCAACAAGCACCCAAAAAGCCCAGAGATTCTGCATATTGTATCTTGGCTACAAGGGCCAGATCATGTCTGCAGATTCTCGTGCCGCCAGCGCATCGTCAATTGTTAAGGAAAGGACGACGGTATTTTCCTCGTTGGGCTTATCTGATCATCTACTGATCCGGTGGGAAAAGCGGAACCCGGTGCTCTTGGCATCGGCGGTTCCGACCGCGTCTCTGCATGAACACTGCTTCTCTCGCCCAAGGCTATGCTTAGATGTGAAGCAACACCCGAATTGCGTGTCACCATGAGTTCATCGTTCACATCGTGAGGGAGTGCTTCCAAAGGAGGTCGAACTGGAGATAGATCACCTAGCACGACTCGAGATTCATTTTCGTCGACGCGTGAGTACCTGCACCGGACACATGTACGCCACGGACCAAAGGTTTCAGGATCGCTGCAGCACGGAGAAGCTCCAGAATCGATCAAGGAAAGATCATGCGGTCTGCCCATGTCAAGTGCAGGTTTGATCCGCAAGATTATCGCACCTGGAGCTTTGTGGCTGCTGCCAAGCACCGAAGGATTGGGCAGCTCGGGCCCGGTCCTGTGCGTAGCGGATCTGATAGGTTATCAAATCAGATCCGTTGTCCGGATCTAATCATCTTGAGGTAATGATTACCGAAGAGGGGTTCTGTTTTTCCTTCCAGATGCTGTGGTTTTGCAGCAGTATGGCTTGCCCTTGCCCTTGGCTACTCATGCTCCTAACGGTTCTTGATCCTCTTGGTAGCCCTGGACCCGACTTGTGTGGAGCCAGTCTTCGTTTTTTTTTCTGCCTTGGGTCGCATTGTGGTTGATTGCCATTCAGAGTGTACTTGGTAGAAGTGGAGCCAGTCAAGCGGCATATAACATGCAGGACTCCTCTCCTCGTGCGAGCTTTTGGACTTTCACCACCTACCTTCTTTCTCATCTTTATCCTTGGATATGAGGCTCAGGATCCCCAACCTTATTTCGCAACCCAATGAGGTGCCAATCGTAGCAGAGACTGCCACCGGCAGCGATGTTGAGGTGGCCAATTCTCAGGAGATGGATGAGAAGGATAGACCGCGGACCCAGGTGACCAGCAAGCTCGAAGAAGATTGTGTTTCTCCAGAGGTGCAACACGGAGTCCAAATCGCCCAGGCGATCAACCAAGTCTGGTCTCGGGAGCATCTGATAGCTGCATACATCATCATTTGGGTCATCAATTTCATCCAGGGCTTTGGCAGCGGCATCACAGGTCTGACCTCCTATCTGAGTCTAGCAGAGAAGCAAGCTAACATCTTATTCTTGCANGGCACATTGACTCCATACGTTACCTCCTCGTTCCAGCAGCATAGTCTCACAGCCACCACGAGCATCATTTCAAGTCTGATTAGTGGCTTATGGAAGCTTCCTTATGCTAAGATCCTCGATGTCTGGGGCCGACCTCAAGGCTTTGCACTCATGGTTGCATCGACTGTACTCGGATTCGTCATGATGGCTGGCTGCAACAACGTCACAACCTACTGCGCTGCTCAGGTCTTCTACCAACTCGGCTACAGCGCTATCGACTTTACCATCACTATCTTTGTTGCTGATACCTCGTCGCTCCGCAACAGAGCTTGTAAGAGAGTCTTTATTTTCACCTTCATGAACAATGCTGACTGTTTTCTGTTATANGGGTGGATCGCATACACCGCATCCCCTTGGCTCATAGTGACTTGGTGCTACGGACCAGCAACCAACTCTGTTCTCGAGACCATTGGGTTCAGATGGGGCTTCGGCATCTGGGCCATCGTCTACCCTATCGTCTGCGCCCCTTTGTTCTGGCTCATGTGGCACAACATGAAGAAAGCTGAAAAGCAAGGTCTCATCCCTAAATACGAGAGCGGACGTAACTGGAAAGAGTCTGTCTACTACTACGCAGTTCAGTTCGACGTTGTTGGTATACTCCTCATCGCCACTGGACTCTCGCTATTCTTGCTTTCTTTCAGCTTGTACTCGTACCAAGCAGAACAGTGGAAGTCTCCTATGATTATCTGCTTCTTGGTGTTTGGCATCATCCTCATGTTCACCTTCTCTTTCTGGGAAGCCAAGGTCGCTCCAGTGACCTTTATTCCCTGGCATTTGATGAAGGACAGAACTGTGATCTTCACCTTTGCTATGGTTGCTGCCATCTACTCTGGATACAACGTCTGGTACGACTACTTCTACAGTATGCTCATCGTTGTATTCAACACGAATGTCCGCGACGCCACTTATATTCTCAACATTTACACCATTGGAGCGACTTTCTGGTGCCTGGTTGTTGGCGTTGTCATTCGCTACAATGGTCGCCTCAAGTGGATCGCTCTGTACTTTGGAGTCCCCGTCAATCTCATGGGTGTGGGTCTCTTGATCTACTTCCGCCACCCAGACACCAACATTGGTTTCATCGTCATGTGCCAGATTTTCATTGCCTTTGGTTTGTTCTCCTTACTATATCCTTACTAAACATCATGCTAACCACCCACAAAAGGCGGCGGCACCCTCGTCATCTGCGAACAAATGACCGTCATGGCCGTCAGCACCCAACAAAATATCCCCGCCATCCTCGCCTTCGAATTCATGATTGCCAACATTGGCTCCTCCATCGGGTCCGCCATTGCCGCAGCAATGTGGACAGGACTCTTCCCAACCAACCTCGCTAAATATCTACCTGCCTCTGCTCTCCCCGATTTGCAGAGTATCTATGGGGATTTGACTGTGCAGAGTTCGTATGCTATCGGTAGTCCTGAGCGAGATGGGATAAACAAGGCGTATGGGGAGACGCAGAAGTTGATGTGTGTGGCGAGTACTTGTTTGTATGCGACCATTATCGTGTGGGTCAGTTTGTGGAGGGAGATTAATGTCAAGGGGATGAAGCAGACTAAAGGGTTGACTATGTAGATGGATAGACGTAGTTGGACTGTTTCGATTCAGCGATGATAATGTTGTGTAGTCGTGTAGACAAAAGTTGATCTGATGATGATGTTGTATCCTCAAAACATGTCCTCTCTAGCTTTGGTCTGTCTCTGTTGATTCTTTATTTGCTCCTTTGCTCGCTCTCGTTGGTGCGATGGCACCTTTTCGCTATCGTTAGCCCCTTATTTCGAGTCCCCCGTTGGTCATATCGTGGAACCTTCTTGCTCTCCCAATCGACACTCGTGACTTATTCTGGCTTCCTCCCTGACCTCTTGCCCTCATATTTCTGTACGAAGGGACTATTCTGCTTATATCCCTTACCCCGATCTTTCACATTGTCAGTGTCGTCGGGTCTCGCCACTTGCAATCTTGGTCAATGCTACACATGCTGTATATTCAGATCCGAATTGATATTCATGACTCGTCAAAGGTGTACATTGGCATTGGCAAAAGCAACAGAAACAAAACTCCCGACGCAGAAAACGCCCCTTGGTCAGCTCTCGACAGTCCCACAATCACCAATCCTTGACCTCAAAACACCCATTCTTCTCCCTATGAGCAATCCACCTATCCGCCCATCCCTTCATCCTCTCCCTGCCCTTCGCACTTCCCACATTGACGGTAGGAATAATCTTCTCCACCCTCAAGGCCGTACAAAACATTGTCAACTCTCTAAAACTGCTGTGCTCGGAATACGGCACGCCAAAGCATTTCGCCCTATTCGTAGATCCACGCTGCGGAGACAGGTCTTTAATGGAATATGCAGATCTCCAAGACGTAGAGTATAAGATGTTGGACACGTTGGGGGTGTCGAGGCGGGAAGAGGGTGGTTTGTAGTTCCAGCCCGAGGGTCGGAAACCGATGCAGCGGTCAAAGTGGTCGGCGTAGCCTTGGCGGTAGTCGTCGAGTGTGTCGGCGCGGATCTCGAAGATGGGCGTCATGTGCACTTGGGCTTCTCTGGGGTCTGTGGTGAGCAGAGATGACAGCTCGGGGTCTTCGAGGGCGCGACAGATGCGTTGTTTTCCTGCCGGGGCGTATATCTTGGACTTGAGGGCTTTGGCTATGCCGATGCAGATGCGTTCTTTGCCGATAGAGTAGGTGCCTACCACAACTAGCAATCGAGCAGCCTTCGTGCTGGTGAGTTTGCCGTTATTGTGAAGCTTTAATTCTGTCGACTCCGAGGGCTCTTGCTTGATTTTGAGATCCGAGTCTTCCTGCTTAAGAGATGGTTGTGAGTCTTTACGGACAAAGTTTGCCATGCCCGCGCTTTCTGACTTGAGAGAATCGAGTACTAGAGGATCGTCGTTGTACCTGACGCACATGTCGGCGCATGCCTTGATGACGTCTTCTTGCTCGGGAAAAGCGTACTTTGGGTTCAGATATGTCGTGTCGAGATAGCAGACATCGATCTTCTGCTCTTTGTTCTTCCCTGTGATATGGTCTTGCACGTCTGGTCGAAGCAAGGGGTGCTCTAGATGCATACGACATGCTCTGAAATCGCCACAGTGCAGAATACGCTGCAACTTTGGATCTGGGCCTTTGCTCAACGGCTTCTCGAACAGATATAGTGACGAACCGGGGCAATGATTTGCTGAAATCATGGTCACCATAACTCCTGGCGTACCTGGCACTTCTGTCGGCACCTCCCAGTCAAGAGCAATCACGTACTCAGGATTGACTCGTAATTGCTGTTTGACCAGATTCGCAGTGACCTTGCTGCAATAGATAGGACCGTGTGACCAGGTGCTCGTCAGACCGACATAGTGATCGCTGTGGAAGTGACTCAAGAAGTAGGCGTTGCAACCAGCGACGGCGCCATATCTGAAGGCATCGACAGCGATGCTGGTTCCGGGTAAGATTTTGTAGAATGGACATGTGCGAGTATAGCTAGGTTTTCCGCGAGAGGCGTTTTCGGCAGCGGCAGCATTGGCCCACGCCATGTCTTCGGATCGACTGGTCATGAGCTTTGAGAAAGCAGAACTTGAGGCATCGTTGCCAATGGGTTGTGATTGAGCGGGTTTCGCTGGACGGGCGGGTTTCTTGAAGTGTGCGGATGAGATGGTAGTCGGCTTAGGTTTCTCTTTCTTTTCGGGCAGAGGCGTCGGGTTCCCGTCGAGGCAGTTGTTGACGTGTACACCTGCATCGGCCTCTGCCACTCCAGCCAGGCTAACGCTGCAGATGGGACATGTCGGAGCATCTGCTTCTGGCATTTCGAACGAGTCGTCTTGGAAACTGTCATCGTCGCCATTTTCTTGCTTAATTTGCTCCTGCTCCATCCACAGCCTCTCGACATATTCTTCGCCCTCGTCAAAAACGTCATCTTCAAAGTCGTCAGTTGCCTCGAAGTCGCCAAAGTTGTCTTGATCTGCTACTGACGCGGAAGTAGGTTGGTGGATCAACGGTGGTGGCGGGTTGACCTCTGTTTTGATGGTTACCGGCATGTCGTTTGGTAATGTGTCGTCGACCTCTTCATCTTCGCTGTCGGATTCTTCCACAAAGGGACCAGAAGGAACTTTGGCGATGGGTGCATCCTTGACTTCTTCGACCGTTGTAGGAGTCGGGAGTGTAGTCTTGAGCTCGTCCAGGCCCTCGATTGGAGATAGCTTCCGCCTCTTGACAGGACCATCTTCCTCATTGTAGCGAGGCTCTTGCTGTTGCTCTTGCTCTTGCCCATCCTCGATCTCTATCTCCTCTACCGCATCTTGACTCTTGATTGGCGAGGATCCGGGGTTGGCAACAAACAGACCGTCATCCTTCTTGAAGAAGGACAAGATACTGGCATTGGGTTTGGCAGGTGCCTTGAGGTTCTTGGCTGGTGTTGACTTTTTNNTGGAATTGACGCTTCCTTTTCCGGTGGTAGCCAGCTTGGGCTGCTTTGAAGCGCTGGAGGTCCGGGGTGGCATTGTCCTGGTGGCCATGGGTGGCAATTGGGTCGTCGGTATAGCGGGTGGCAAGCTGGTAGCAGGAGTGGTGGGGGTTTTGTGTGGTGGCGACGGCGGTCTGCCTACGGATGGGAGCACATGGGTTCCTGACGATATTGATCTGTTATCTCGTGGGTTGCGAAACATGGGAGACAGTGTATTCGTGCGTCTTGACAAAAGTTGGCCATGACGCTGCTGCCGAGGTCGTGTCACAGCGCGTAGATTGCTTTCGCGACGGGAAATGCCAAGACTTGATTGATCAAAGAAATACACCAAGACAACACACTGGAAGGAAAGGACAACACGAGTTCAAGTGATTAAAACGATATGCTTCTTCGCATTTTGGTCTATGTGGCAAAGAACAACAACTCCCCCACTCTGTCACCAGCGTCGCTTCCCTGATCCCGCCCAACCATGCTCCATGTTTCACCATTTGCACAACGACTGACATGCCGAACCGCCCGATCCTGTCAGAGAGGCTCGAGCATTACTACTACGAGAGAAGACGAGATGAAGGTCGAGACCTAGACTCTAGAGTGCCGAAAAGACAAAGAGCTGGGACGTGGGGCGTCAGTCGTGCTCCGTGGGGGNCCGTCGAGTCAGAATACTCACATTGTTGGTTGCAGCAATGGCGATGCTGTCCTCGAACGGATGCCAGCTCATGTGCAGTATCTTCTTGTTGAAATCAATTGCATCGGCATCCGTCTCCTTGCGCATTCTGCTTCCCTGCCCTGCCGGGCTGTTGGCCCTGCTGTTGCCCTTCTTGTCCTTGGCTCCGTTCATCGGCGTGGGGATTCCAACCTTCTTGGCCTTGAACGCGCTCTTATCGGCTTGCAGTACCACTTCGGTGTCTTTGCCCGCTTCTGATGGATAGATCATGAAGTTGTTGTTGTAAGATCCCGTCATGACATTCTTGGCATCGCCCGAGAAGACGACTTCAAACTTGTCGAAGATGCTATCGTTCTCGTATGTGTCGCAGAGGCGTGGTCGGAGGTGCTCGTGGATGGGAATCGTCTTGACTGGTTGTCTCTCCATGTTCACATCCCAAATCTTGACCGTCAGGTAGTCGCGAGACAAGATGTAACGACCGTCATGTGAGAAGCGGACATCCGAGATGGATGAGATGATTTCTGAGAAGAACGACCTGGATGACGGATCCTCTTCTTGCTCGAATTCNNTGCCACCTGTCAGTCCCTTTCTCTGTTCGTCCCTGGGCGATAAGAACTTACGCTTGGCGTGCGAGTCACAAAGAGCCCTCTCACGCATGTCAGCCAACTTGATGGTTCCCTTGCTGCTGGCATACATGAACCAATTGCAGCTGAGTGGGTGGAACTCTGCAGCGGTAATGACCTCGGTCAGCTCCTCCATGTTGGCAGGCTTGATGTCGACAATGTTGAAGCTCTGATCTTGGATGTTGAGATTCCACAGGTTGATGCGCAAGTCGTCACTGCTGATGTATGTCTCGCCGTCGCTGTTCACAGAAATGCTATTGATGTGGTAAGCGTGGGCGTTGGCGTACACACGACGGGGTACGGCGGCGATGACTGTGTCGTGGTGTGTCATGCGAGGGAAGCTGAGGTCGGCGGTGCTGCGGAAGTGTTTGTTGGGGGCTCTGACGGGGCCGCCGCCAACAGCACCGCCTGCACCGGCCGGAGTGAGGTCTTGCGACAGGTTGTTCTCGGCCACGACCTTGAGGGATTTCTCAAAGACCTTCCATAGCTTGATGGTCTTGTCGTTGGTCGACAGCAGGTAATGCGAGGCGTTTTGTCTCCTACACCACTTGATCTTGTTGATCTTTTCCTCGATTTCGAGCGATTTCAGGTAGTCAAACTCGGGCTCATGTGACTGGAACTCGGTGTGGAACTTGTACTCGCATGTTTTTTTCTTGCCTGTGTCAGTGGGAGAAGGCCTTTCGTCGGGAGCGGGGATGGCTGGTACCGTCTCATTACGTTCGAAAAGAACAACGCGGCCACCCTTGTCACCAGTGGCCAGGTAGTTACCTGTCTGGTCGAACTCGACCGTTGAGATGATGTCGGNCTGCGTCTTGTCAGCGGCGCTGCAGAT